AAGCCGCTGCAGCCGCGAGGGGAGTGGAGGCGGCGCGGCATGAAGCGGCGCAGGCTCGCTCCGTAGCGCGCGTCAGGACGGTCCGGGCAGGGCCGGGGGGGAAGGTGCAGTATCCGCCCCCTCTCCCCGGGCCCCACTGGACGGAAGAGGAAACCGAGGCTCAGATTCCGAGGCTCCCAACGTTCACTGGGCGCCCCCTGAGCGCTGGGCGCGCTGCGGGACGTGCTAGTCCGTTATCTAATTGAGCCTATGGGGTGGGGAGGCCGGGTATTGTCCGGACTTACAGACGAGGAAACGGAAGCCCGCAGTGGCAAAGGGATTTGCCTAAAGTCCGACGGTGGCAGATGGGATTCGGATTCAGATTTTCTGGTTTCCCAGATGATCCTTTCTCCCTTGCTGCCTCTGTCTAGGTCGAGTCCCTCCAGGGCTCAGTGTCCCCCACCCGTTCGGTCTCACCCACCGTCAACAGGATACCTTGTGTCCTGTCAAACCTCTGCACTCACACACTCTTCTCCTAACAGTTGGCACCCCTCCAATCTTAGCATTTTTCGCCACAGCTCTCCTTTCCTTCCTGATTCATAGCTTGCAAGGTCTCCGCCCCCCTCCGTGATAATTAACAGCTTGACTACCCGTGGATCCTGAAAAGTGAAAGAGCTAGGTTTCAGTGAGGCTTGGCGGTGTTTGGTCCTTGAATTTTAAAAAGAAATGCCGGGACCAGCAGTTAGCATAGTGGCAATGTCGCTGGACTCCCATGTAGCTGACCGCGGTTCAAGTTCCGGACCCAGTGGCTTAAACTCACGCCAGGCGCGTGTGCGTGCGTGTCCAAGATCCCGAGAGGAGAATGGAGGAGAAGGGATTGTGGCGTGACCATCCCCCCTGGGGGGTGATTTCTTGCTTTGTGTCTGTCTTTCTGGTGAGAGCGCATGCCCTGTAGTTAAAACCTCTCCCCCTAAAAAAACCAAACAAACAAAAACCAAGAAATGCCATTTGAATGGGTCCAAACTCAAGCTGTTTCCTGACCCACCATACTCTTCTTTGAATAAGGGGCTCAGAACTGTGGGAAGGGGTCTTGACCTCTGTTGCTGTTAGGGTAACTTAACCTCAGTCTTTTCTCCTCTTGCTTCTTACCTTTTCTCACTGTCACCCACTTGGACTATGGGAGCCCAGAATTAAAACTGATAGCAAAGTAACAGATGTAATCACAGCTCTTTCTGCCGTGGGCTAAGCCAGTATTTCAGCAAGTGTAATTCACTCTTTTTTCCAGAAAAGTTACTTGGTTGAATTATTCTCAGAGTAATGGGGCAAAGAAAGAAACAAAATTGGAATGCACTTAAAATAAAAGGACATCTTTATCTTGAAAAAAATCTTTTAAGTATTAAATACAAATTGATTCCCTTTCTGCAGAAATGGCCTGTTCTATAATTTGTGCTGCTTAACCTCTTAAATTCTGTCTCCAACCAGAACTGTGTGGCACATAAAGGAAGAACAGGAGTAGGCACATAGAAATAAGTTTTCTTAATCATCTCTCACTTTTGAGGGTTTTCACACCCATATGCCTTTCATTATTTTTTAAAGCTCTTTCATAATTTTTCTTGTCTGAACATCAAGATTTACACTATCATAATATTCTTTTGAGTAAATTAGGCTTTGTATCTCTGAAATTATTTAGATTTTTGATAATGTAAAATGCAGCTACACAATAATTTAGGCATTATGTATTGCACCAAAAAGAACAATATTTCTGTATCGGTTGTAGATACTATTTTAGACTTTCTAGCTTTAATCCTTTGGCCATGAATGATCCATTTTAATAATGGTCAACAGTCACATCCTATTTCGTTATCCTGGTGAGCAGGAGTGGATGGTGAGAAAAGGAAACGGTTCCTGTGAGAAGAGAGCAAAATGGGCAGAGGGATCTACTCTTAAGGTTGAGTCACTTGAAAAAGAGCTCTTTGAGTGTGGACTAGATCTGAAGAGATGAAAATACAATCAGGTAGGCATAGGGGGAGGTCCTTAAAGGTAGGTGGGACAATGAAATACATGCACTGTGCTGAGAAGTACAATGACCTTATTTTCCTATTTTTTAAATTAGAAAATACAGGTCATGTATTTTGAGAGTGTATTTGTATGTAAGATGTTAGAGAATTCTGGAAGTTAAACCATTCTGCACTATTGGGTTATTGGAAAAGTCTTGACTCATTTTTACATAGAAAACTATGTTGTAACTTTTTCAGCAGCCCAATACATTCGGCTAGATCACTAACACACTGCCAGATTTATTCTGGAAAATACAGGATACACATTTACTGTGGACATACAGCTTAGCAGTGTGTCATTTGAACTGTACAATGTGTTTGTACATGTACATGTTTATATATGGAGATAGTCCAGGAACCTAGTGCAATTCATGAATATTTTAATGGATGATTTGTACATAAATGTAAACTAGTGCAACTTAAACAAATTTTTTAAGTTTAATTTTATTCATCATCGTTTAAAATTTGACCAGAGAAAATGGGGGCAAGAGAGGGAAATTGAGAAAGCAAGCAGCCAGGTCTGGGAGGCCAGTGCCTTAACCACCATGCCACCTCCTGACCCCAGGCTATTAGGACTGTTAAGAAGGGAGGGGTAGGTTGTAAGCTGGGCAGTAAGGCTTGGGAGATTTTTGCGCTGAGCTGTCCTGCTCTGTTCCTACAGTACTTGGAAGCAATGTTTGCAGATGAAGTTCCAAATTTAACAAGAGAAGTTGAGAAAAATGAGTCCGATTTGTGCAGATTCTTTCATTTTTTCCCCCATTTTCCTGTCACTTCATTAGATGTAAAAATAGGCCTATAGATATATTTAGTAGAAAATAGTTCTCCACTAGCTTTGATATGAGTGAACTACCACTGCTGTCATATATAGCTACTTAATGACGGTGTGCTGAATACCAGTTGAGCTAAAGGCTTTAATTCTCTGAGAGTTACTTTGGATTTTAATCATTGGATGTGAATGCTCAATTATAGTAATATTACAAGTATACCTGATGTAATTGTCTAATTGGATCTCTGGCCACTCTTGTTACTGTTAACACTGAAGGTGATAGTGTAGTAGCATTTAAAAAAGGCAAAATGTCCTAAGCACATAGTTCAGTTTACTTGCAATGTATGCCTCAGGGACTATTTTACAATCCATACCTGCTAGTAACTTTTTCTCTGTAATAGTTACTTCTTACCATGAATTCATGATAGCCTGGGAAATTGAGCTTTAGAAAAGATACAATAAATATGCAGCCATGCATTCATTGTTCTTCCAGAAAAAATTACCACTCTCTCTGGAGTCTACCTTATTGACTTTTATTAGTTCAGAAAGAGCAGATCACCCGAGAATTTTTATGTTGCTTCTTTTTATGATGGTGCCATGAGTAATGTATGTCAATATCATACAATGGTTTATGGTAGATATTAGATAAGGGGGAAAAATCCATCTTCTGGATTTGTGGGAAGAAAAAAAACTTAGTAGATGTGATACTAACAAGCTGTTTTGAAATATTGACAAAAAATTGGTTCAGTTCAGACTTAATCGTTTTTCTTTTTATTTTTTTGAGAGGTTTTCGTTATAGGGCGCGTGCGCTCGCCAGACAGACAGAGAGAGACAGAGAGATAGAAGGCGAGAAATCACCCCCCAGGGGGGATGACCACGCCGCAATCCCTTCTCCTCCATTCTCCTCTCAGGATCTTGGGCATGTATGCATATGCGCTCGGCGTGAGTTTTAAGCCATCGGGTCTGGGATGCGAACCGTGGTCGACTATGTAGGAGTCCAGCGACATAGCCATTACGCTAACTGCTGGTCCCCAGACTTAATCGTTTTTCTATAGGTGCATATGCATTTGCCATGAAGACAGAAAATGAGAGATCACCCCTCAGGGGAATTGGTCACACCACAACCCCTTCCCCTCCAGTCTCTTCTCAGGATTTGGGCCTGCACACACATGCACCCTATGTGATTTTCAAGCCCCTAGGTTCAGGACTCGAATCATGTAATCAGCCATGTGGGATCCTGTGCCTTAACCTCCACCTGCTGGCCCAGGTTCAGATTTTTTTGAAGTTTATTTCTTCCATGAGAGGGGTATCCCCAACAGGGTTTTCATGTCTTAGTCCAGTCTCAGCCACAAGTGCTCAGGTCTGGAGTATACAGAGAGACTGCTGACCCTGAGAGTCCAAGTGACCTTCCCATGTGACCTCTCATGTAGGTCTGTCATCACAGCATTGCTTTCCCCATTGCACCACTGTCTGGCCCCAAGCTTGGATGTTTATCAAAATCGTTGGTACAAACAAATGCTTTTGCATCAGCTACTTCAACTAATTAAAACCACTCAAAGATAGTATATCTTTTTCTTCTCTTTAAGTCAGAGCCTCAAGTTCTAAAATTAATGAGTCACATAAGTTTCCTTCAAGTAAAGTCACCATAAGTGATCATATAATAGTGCTGTCCAGGCAAGAGCAGAATACTCAAAAATGTACCAGCTAGTTAAGTGTTGTTTGCAGTTCTTCCTAAAAGGAAACTATTATCTTTGGTAAGTGCCCTAGGAAGGTTGTTACATGTAAGTGGTTTGCAATAATTTTGTTACTATTCTAATTGGTTGTGATTATTCTTGTTAGGTGGAGAAATGCAGGCTTTTGAAACATGTTACTGTTTTGAAATGCAGAATCACTTCAGTCTCTTGGCACTTTTAGCTTCACTGTTGACATACTCTTGGGTGGAGTATAGCAGCCAATTGGCGCATATCCTGTTTCTTTCCAGTGTGGGAAAGAAAAAGAAATTTTGGCAAGAGATACCCAAGGAGAGCCTTTTATAAAGTTCCCAAGGGGATTTATAGTCGCTGTGAAATAGACATGACCTCAATTAAAAAAAAAAAAAAGATCCCACTTTTAAATTGAACACAGAAAAGGGGGAGCTATTGCTTTTCTTACTAGGTTTCATTTGCAGCTGTGCTAAAAAACATATCTTCCTTGCCTTTTTATTTTTACTTTTAGGCCTTATCGGACTGTCATTCTGATAAAGAGGAGACAGGCCTGTGAACAGCTTTATGTGTCCTATTTTTCTAGGAAAATGCAACATGGCAGCAGCAATGGAAACAGAACAGCTGGGTGTTGAGATATTTGAAACTGCAGAGTGTGAGGAGAATATTGACTCACAGGATCAGCCTAAATTGGAGCCGTTTTATGTTGAGCGATATTCCTGGAGTCAGCTTAAAAAGCTGCTTGCTGATACCAGAAAATACCATGGCTACATGATGGCTAAGGCACCGCATGATTTTATGTTTGTGAAGAGAAATGATCCAGATGGGCCTCATTCAGACAGAATCTATTACCTTGGTGAGTATGAGGTCACAATTTATGAATGGAAACATTTTCTTAAATCATAATTAAACACACCCAAATTTTGCTGAATAAATGAATCAGTAACTTTTGGTTCCACGAAAGGGAAAAAACCTTTTAACTTGAAGAACTTCTGTTTCAGTGCTATTTAAATTTGTCCCATTAAGTTAATTTTTTTGTGCAGGTAACAAATCATGAATTTATCATGATCTTTCTTCAAAGTCAAAGCTGCCAGAAATTGCTTTTAGCTAAAGCTACTTTGAAATGCCATTCTTTAGGAACGGTCAGATTAGGAAAGCAAAACAATAAAACCATTAGTTTGGGGCCAGCTGCTAGTGTGATATTTAAGGGGGCTGGTCCCACATGGCTGACTGTGCAGTTTAAGTCCCAGACCTGGCAGCTTGAAAAATATTCCAGGCACATGAGTATGCATACCCAAAATCCCCAGAAGAGGATGGAGAGGAGGGTGTAGGGTGGCGATCGCCCCTGGGAGTCCAGCGATGTAGACATTATGTCATCTGCTGGTCCCTCTTTTTTTTTTTTTTTTTTTTTACACTCCGTAATATTCTGTTATATAATTGTGGCATATTTTACTTTACTAACACCTTAGCCACCATACTACCTGTGGGCCTAAGAAAAAATTTCTTACTCTTTCTGTGTGGTTTTACATTCTTCTTTCTTTACTTTCTCTAGCTTTTTGGCAGTGATACCTTTTTTTTTTCCTTCTTAACTTTATTTATTATTATTATTATTTTATTTTGACTGAGGCAGGGAGGAATGAGAAAGCAAGCTGCCAGGTCTGGGAATCAAACTGTGGTTGCCATGTGGGAATCCAACACCATTAACTACCACACCACCTGCGGGCCCCAGAAGTAATACCTTCCTAGCTCTACTTTAAATAGAAAGGCTTTTTTTTTTTTTTTTCCCATGTTGTTCAAATTTTCCTTGGTTCACACTTCCATAACCTTAGCATATTTCTGTTACTTTCTTTTTTAGAGAGATTTTTTGCTATACGGTGCATACGCTGGCCAGAGAGAGAGAGAGAGAGACAAACAGACAGACAGAAAGCAAGAAATCACCCCCCCACCCCCCCGGGGGGGGGGGGGGGGGATGGCCACACTGCTGCAATTCCTTCTCCTCTAATCTCCTCTCGGGATCTTGGGTATGCATGCACACGTTCCCGTACCGGGAGAGTTTTAAGCTGCTGGGTCTGGGATTTGAATAACAGTCAACTACATGGGAGTCCAACAATGCAACCATTACAACATCTGTTGGTCCCTGTTACTTTCTTTTTAATAATGTAGTTCATTCCGCACTGCTGTGATCCTCCAATTCAGTTACTGCATGATTTCCCAGAATATACTTGGCTTTTGCTTAGTTTAGATCTCTTTTTCCTTTGCTCTTCCCCCACAGAGGACAAAGAGATTTTCAGCAAATCAGATATCAGATTCTGATATGAAAATACTTTTATTTGCAACTCCAAAGGTCTTATTAATGATTATGGTTGTAGAACTTTTATAATGAAGGAAAAACAATTCAGTTAGGCTTGTGTGTGTATAAATAAGGATTTTAAATTATTTTTTTAAAATGTAGTAAACTGTAGTTGTCATTTTAGAATCTTATGAGTTTATTGCCAACTTGTAAAAGACTAATCATTTTTAAAAATACTGTGGGTGGCAAATGATGGGGGATGGGCAGGAGAGACTCAGGAAGTTAGCATTGAATAGAGGGGACAGCAGGTGTGGTGGTGTGGTGGTTAAGGGTGTTGGATTCCCACATGGTCGACTGCGGTTTGAGTCCCAGACCTGGCGGCTTGCCTTCTCACTTTCTCTTTATCTTTCTGTGTGACTTTCTAGTCAAACTAACATAAATAAATGAAATTAAATGAAATTAAATAATTTTTTTAAAAAACCATTGAATAGATACAAGAATGTATATAAATAAAGCAGATAGACTGGAATGGCATACCAAAACAAAAAAAAAAAAAAAAAAAGAAAAGGATGTTGCAAATCAGATATATAATAATGTCAACAGGGAAAAAAAAACCTAGTAGAGCAAAAATTGCTAATCATATACATAGTGTATAAATAACGTCAAAGAAAGAACTAGTAGAGTGAAAATTGAAGATACACATCATAATGTAAGGTTCTTTGCTGAAAATGATGAATATGGTAATACTCTTGATTTGATTATCACACACTGCATGCATGCTTTGAAAAAGCTACTTTATACCTCTCAAAGATGTACAAGAATTAAATGTAAATAGGAAGTCACCAAAAATGTTTTAAATATTAAAAAAATGAAACTTGCCTTAATTTTCTTTACGTCATTTTACATACTTTTATGTTTATTTTGCGAGGGACTAAGATCAGAATATCAAAATGAAGCCTGCACATGTTACTATAAAACTCCAGTGTTATTGAACATTTCCATGAGCTGTGACATGTGCTTATCCTACATGTTAGCATGTGCTATGGATCTCATTTGTAGAATACTGCAATGGATAGAAGGCATTGTGTACTTGCTAGTATGACGGTAAGAATGCTCTTTGGAAAAAATAGTAATAAATGATTGTTGTCTCTTATAGCCATGTCTGGGGAGAACAGAGAAAATACACTGTTTTATTCTGAAATTCCCAAAACTATCAACAGAGCAGCAGTCTTAATGCTTTCTTGGAAGCCTCTTTTGGATCGTTTTCAGGTGGGATTAAAGGTTCTTATTCCTATAATTTATTTAAAAACTGACCTTTGGGATTTTATATTTGAAGTAGATATGAAAAAAAGGAACTAAAATATTTTTTAAATAATTATTTATTTTATTTATTATCATTATTATTCTTTCACATGAATTCACCAGAGAGAGACAGAGAGAGAGAAAGTAAGAAAGCAAGTTGCCAGGTCTGGGACTTGAACCGTGGTTGGCCATGTGGGAAGTCCAGCACCTCAACCACCGTGCCACCTGCTGGCCCCGGAACTAAAATATTTTTATGTATGCACATGTCACCTTAAGTTCTGTTTAGTTCTCAGCGTCTGAAACTAGGGATATTACAATTCAGTTTTGTTTTTTTAAGGTTTTTGCCATAGGGTGCATATACTCACCAGGGACAGAGAGAGACACTGAGAAGGAAAGTGAGAAATCACCCTTCAGGAGGAATAGCCACAGTGCAGTCTCTTCTCCAGTCTCCTGGAATTTGGGCTTGCACACACATGAACCTGGTTTGATTTTTAAGCCACTAGCTCCAGGACTCGAACTGTGGTTTACCATGTGGGAATCCAGTGCCTTAACTACTAAACCACTTGCTGGCCCTACAGTTTAAGTTTTGTTAACTGCCTTCTCATTTAACTGCCTTTCCTTTTCACAAATTTTATAGTTATGTAGTCTTAGATTATTAAAGTTTCTTTCTTTCTTTTTTTTTTTTTTTTTGAGAGGTTTTTGCTATAGGGCGCGTGCGCTCACCAGACAGACAGAGAGAGACAGAGAGACAGAAAGCAAGAAATCAACCCCCCAGGGGGGATGGCCATGCCGCAATCCCTTCTCCTCCATTCTCCTCTCGGGATCTTGGGCACGCACGCACACGCGCCCGGCGTGAGTTTAAGCCACCGGGTCCAGGACTTGAACCGTGGTCGACCACGTGGGAGTCCAGCGACATAGCCATTATGCTAACTGCTGGTTCCAAGTTTCTTTCTTTCTTTTATGAGGATATTTTTGCTATAGTGCATGTGCACTCACCAGAGAGAGACAGAGAGTGAGAAATCACCCCCCCCAAGGGGATGGCCACGCTGCTGTCCCTTCTTCAGTTTCCTCTTGAGATTTTGAGCATGCACACCCATTCATCTGGCGTGACTGTTAAGCCACCAGGTCTGGGACTTGAACTGCGGTTGGCCATGTGGGAGTTCAGCAACATAACCATCATGTCATCTGCTGGTCCCACATTTTTTTTTTTTGGAGAGTTTTTTGCCGTAAGGTGCATGTGCTTACCAGAAAGACAGAGATAGAGAGACAGAAAGCAAGAAATCACTCCCCGGGGGGGATGGCCAAGCTGCAATCCCTTCTCCATTCTCTTCTCAGGATCTTGGGCACTCACTCATACGCGCCTGGTGTGCGTTTAAGCCACCAGGTCCAGGACTCAAACTGCGGTCAACTGCATGAGAGTCCAGCGACATAGCCGTTACACCAACTGCTGATCCTGGTCCCACATTTTAAAAATTTCTTTCTTCCTGTCTTTCCTCCTTTCTTCCCTTTTCTTTTTTGCATGAGTGTGAGACAGAAATATGGAGAGACAGGGACCCCTGGCTATGCTACAGTCTTCTTGAGACTTCCAGCCATCCAGAATTATGAGCCTGCCTATAGGCATACCTGACATGTTCAGCTCAACCTGGGATCTGAACTCTGGGTCTTCCCATGTGGTTCCAGTATTGCATAAAAGTGATCTATTGCCTGAACCACTGCGGCTGGGCCCTTAGCTACATTTATGTGTACATTAGTATACATCAGTGGTATTAAGTACATTCACTTACAAACATACATATATGCAAACATTACCACCATCCATCCACAGGATGGTACCTCATTGGTTTTCATTTGCATTTCCTTAATTAGTGATATGTTAAGCATCTTTTCATGTGCTTATTGACGATTTGTGTATCTTTGAAGAAATAGCTATCCAAGCTTATTTTTTTAACTTGCCATAATTTGCCATAAGGCATATGTGCTGCCAGAGAGACACAGAGAGATGGAGAATGAGAAAGCATTCTCCAAGAGACCAAGGGACATGGTCACACTGTAGTCCCTTCTGTTTTTCTCTCTTTTCAGGATTTTGTGTATGCACACAAGCATAGCTGGCACGTTTTTCAGGCCACCAGGGCTAAGATTTAAACTGCTCGGTTGAACATTCAGGATCTGACTGTCTTTAGCCACTAGACCATGGGCTGGCCTTTGCCCATTTTTAAATTGGATTGTTTTTTGTTGTTTACTTTTGTGACTTTTTTTTTTTTAAGGTTTATTTCCATAGGGTGTGTATGCTCACTGTAGACAGAGAGCGAGACAGTAAGAGGGAATGTGATAAATCACTCCCCAGGGAGGATGGCCGTGCCACGGTCACTTCTCACTATTTTCCTCCTGGGATTTTGGATGCACCCAGCGTGACTTTCAAGCACCCTGTTCTGGGACTCAAACCACTTAACCACCACACCACTTGCTGGCTCAAGTGATACTATTCTGTTAGCTGAATAAGGGCCCCTGAAAAGTTATATCTCAGTCCTAAATCCCGGTGTCTGTGAATACGACCTTATTTGGGAATAGAATCGTCACAGATATAATCAGTTTAGGATCTTGAGATAAGATAATCCCAGATTTAGGGTAGGCCCTAAATACAATGACTAGTGTCCTTGTAAGACATAGAAGAGGAAAATTTAAGACACAGACACACAGGAAGTGAAGGCCATGTGAAGACAGAAATTAGGTGTGTTGTCACAAGCCAAGAAACTTGTAGAGGTACCAGAAGCTGAAAGAGGCAAAGAAATATTCTCCCTCTAGCCTTTGGATAGATCCTGGTCCCGCCCAAATCAGTGAACACCTTAATTTTGGACTTCTGGCCTCCAAAACTGTGAGAATAATTTTTTTGTTTGTTTTCAGCCACCAAGTTTGTGGTATATTTTTACAGCAGCCTTAGGAAATTAGTACATGACTCTTGACACAAAATTTTAATATTGGTGAAGTTCAATCTATTTTTTTCTTTGATTACTTGTGCTTTTGATGTCATATCTAAAAAAATTGTTGCTTATTAAAAGGTTGTGCAAATTTCGTTTTCTTATCTAAGTTTTATGGTTTCAACTCTTACATTTAGATCTTTTATCCATTGAGTTGACTTTTATACATAGTGTGAGATAGGGATCAAAATATATTCTTGGGAACCAGTAGTTAGCGTAATGGCTATGTTGCTGGACTCCCATGTAGTCAACCGCGGTTCGCGTCCCGGACCCGGTGGCTTAAAACTCATGCTGGGCACATGTGCATGCGTGCCCAAGATCCCGAAAGGAGAATGGAGGAGAAGGGATTGCGACGTGATCATCCTCCTTGGGGGGTGATTTCTTGCTTTCTGTCTCTCTGTCTCTCTCTATCTGGCGAGCACACGCACCCTATAGCGAAAACCTCTCGAAAAAAAGAAAAAAGAAAAAAATACTCTTTTTTTTGGAGAGGTTTTTGCTACAGGGTGTGTGCACTCACCAGAAAGAGACAGAAAACAAGAAATCACCCCCCCAGGGGGTATGGCCACGCCACAATCCCTTCTCCATTCTCCTCTCGGGATCTTGGGCACGCACGCACACACACCCAGTGTGAGTTTAAACCACCAGGTCCGGGACTCAAACCACGGTCAACTACATGAGAGTCCAGCAACATAGTCATTATACCAACTACTGGTTCCTAAAATATATTCTTTTTACATGTGAACATCCAGTTGTCCCTGGGTGACTCCTTTACCAAATGACTTTCCCCACTGAATGATCTTAGCACTGTTGTTGAAAATGAGTTGACCATAAATGTATGGATTTATTTCTGGACTTTAACTTCTGTTCCATTGGTGGTATGTCTGTCTTTTATTTATTTATTTATTTTTTGAGAGGTTTTTGCTATAGGGCACATGCACTTGCCAGACAGACAGAGAGAGAGACAGAGAGACAGAAAGCGAGAAATCACCCCCCAGGGGGGATGGCCACACCACAATCCCTTCTCCTCCATTCTTCTCTCAGGATCTTGGGCACGCACGCACACATGCCCGGCATGAGTTTAAGCCACTGGGTCTGGGACTTGAACCGCAGTCGACTACATGGGAGTCCAGTGACATAGCCATTATGCTAACTGCTGGTCCCAGTATGTCTGTCTTTATGTGGTTACCATGTTGTTGTGATTTCTATAGCATATACTCATTTTTTCTCAGGAATTCAGCTGTTATTGAACATGCTGCAAAAGAGGTTTAATTAGAAGACCAAAGCCTGTGTCACCATCAGACTCCTCAGATTCTTATTTCTTTGCTCCTACTTTTACTTTCTTTTCCTCACCTGAGGCAACAATGGTGGAGTGGGGAGGACCTTAGGCCGGTTCACCAGATTCACCAGCACCTAAATTGTAGTGTGGCCTCCAGTGTTGACATTGGTCAGGGTCTTTGCAAGAAGCTAGGCTGAAAAGGTTCAATATTTATACCAGCTACTTTAGTGAGGTCAGTCACCTCATCACTGTAGGATCAGGGCTGAGTAGATACAGGTGAGCTTGGAGATGAAAGCGCGAGAGGAATGGGCAAGTGTGGAGCTGGCATTGCCCAGCATAGTGTTAGTCTCCAAAGTCTGTCTGTCTTTCTGTGAGAAAAAGAGAAGGAGAATGTGCAGGAGGAGAAGAGAGAGAGACCGATGCTTATTTAAGAAAAATTTATTTATCTAATTTTATTATTATTTTTTAATTTGACTAAAGACTGACAGAGAGAAAGGGAAGGTGAGAATGCAAGCTGCCAGGTTTGGGACTCAAACTATGGTCGGCCATGTGGGAGTCCAGTGCCTTAACCATCACGCCACCTATTGGCCTCAGATTTTTTTTTTTAAAGAATTTTTTTATTTAACTTTATTTTAATTTGATCAGAGAGAGACATAGTGAGAGGGAGAGAGATGGAAAGTGAAAAAGCAAGCTGTCAGGCCCAGGACTCAAAACAAGGTCAGCCATGTGGGAGTCCAACGCCCTTAACCACCACACCACCTGCTGGCCCCGGCCTCAGATCTTTTTGATGGTGTCTCTGCCATTGCAGTCTTATGTTCCAGCTCCTGGTTAGCTAGGATTACAGGTGTGTACTGTCACGCTTGACCTTTTCAGGTTGATCTGGAATCTGAACCTAGATCTCCCATATGGCCTAGCCTTGCACAGTGGCCCCTGACACTTACACCACCACCGCTGAGCCTTTTGTTCTTTGTAAGAATTGTTTTGTCTATTCTCTGTTCTTCACAATTCTGTATGAGTATTATTAGGGTCAGCTTATTCATATTTGGAAAAAAGGCAGTTGGAATTTTGATAGTATTCCATTGATTCTGTCTTTTTTTTTAAATAATTATTTTATTTAACTTTATTTTTTATTATTTTCCAGTTTGATCAGAGAGACATGGAGAAAGAGAGTGAGGGAAAGTGAGAAAGCAAGCCACCAGGTCTAGGACTTGAACTTTCTATTTTGAAAATGAGAAAATTAATTTTGGAGAAAATTAAAATTTTTTTTTTGAGAAAATTAATTTTGAAAAAAATAAGTTTGCCCAAGGTCAGACTTCCAGCAGAGTCAAAGCCAGGATTCAGACCTTTTGACTTTTGAATCTGTGCTCTAAACTGCATGCAAAACTGCTAAATTACAGTTAGGCTGTAGAAAGTCTTGAGTGCAAAGATGCTGAGAAATCATTATTTTTCCCTAATATATACAATAATTACCTAAAGATACCTTACTAGGAAATCTTTCAGCAAGCTTCTGAAATTAATCTGCTGAAAGTTGCCAGCAAATTTGGAGGTCACTCAAAAGGTAGACTCAATGTTGGAGATGCTGGGATATCAGTGCTAAAAGCAAAAGACAAGTTTCCAGAAAAGTGGAATAGGTTGGACTGACTTTCCTTTTGCTTTAGGCAACACTGGACTATGGAATGTATTCTCGAGAAGAAGAACTATTAAGAGAAAGAAAACGCATTGGGACAGTTGGAATTGCTTCTTACGATTATCATCAAGGAAGTGGGACCTTTCTCTTTCAAGCTGGTAGTGGAATTTATCATGTAAAAGATGGAGGGCCACAAGGTTTTACCGTAAGTTGAAGTTACTAATCACTAAACCTGTTTTGGGGCCCTAGAGATTATCTGCACCCAAATCAGAAGGTAATTGAACAGATAAATCAGAAACGTTAGTTTACTTACCAACTAAGAAATTTACTAGCACTGGAAGGAAGATATGGATATTAATTTTCCATTTTTTTTGTGTGTGTGTGTTTTTTTTAGTGGCTTTAGGATAGTTTTTTCTTTAACCAACAGCTTTTTTTAAAAGAATAATTTATTTAATTTTATTTATTATTTTAAAATTTTACCAGAGAGACAGAGAAGGAATGTGAGACAAACCACCAGGTCCAGGACTCAAACCACGGTCGGCCATGTGAAAGTCTAGAACTTTAACCACCATGTCACCTGCCGGCCCCAGTTTTTTCTTTTCTTCTTTTTTTTTTGGAGAGGTTTTTGCTATAGAGTGCATGTGCTTGCCAGAAAGACAGAGAGAGACAGAAAGCGAGAAATCCCCCCCCCCAGGGGGGATGGCCACGCTGCAGTCCCTTCTCCTCCATTCTCCTCTCAAGATCTTGGGCATGCACACACACGCGCCTGGCATGAGTTTTAAGCCACCGGGTCTGGGATGCGAACGGCGGTCGACTACATGGGAGTCCAGCGATATAGCCATTACGCTAACTGCTGGTCCCCCCCTCGAGTTTTTTCTTTATTCGTGATTGAGTGTATGTGCACACAACCAATTGAGACAGAAAAAGAAATGTGAACACACACTTTGAGATCTGGTCGCTCTGTGATCCCCTTCCTCCTGGCCTCCTGAGAGATCTTGGGTGCTCGGGTATGTGCCCAATGTGTTTCAAGCTGAGCTGACCAGGGATTCAAACAGCAGTCACCATGTGAGATGAAGCTTCTCTCTCTCTCTCTCTTTTTTTTTTTTTTTTTAAGAATTATATATTAGGACCAGCAGATGGCATAATGACTATGTTGCTGGACATGCATGTAGTGGACTGCAGTTCGAGTCCTGGACCTGGTGACTTAAACTCAAACAGCGCATGTGTGTGTGCATGCCCAAGATCTTGAGAGGAGAATGGAGAAGCGACTGTGGCATGGCCATCCATGCTGGTGGTGATTTCTCATTTTCTGTCTCTCTCTGTCTTTCTGGCAAGTGCACACACCCTATAGCAAAAACCTCTCCAAGAAAAAGAGAGTTACTTATTTATTTAATTCCATTTGATATTATTTTTTAATAATTGACCAGAGAGAGAGAAAGGGAAAGTGAGAAAGCAAGCCACCAGGTCTGGGACTTGAACTGTGGTTGGCCATGTGGGAGTCCTGTGCCCCCAACACCATGCCACCTGCTGACCTCAATGAAGCTTTTCTTAAGTAGCACATTACCACTGTACCACAGAGCTAGCACAAGATACAGGTTTTTTTAGGTTTTTTTTGGAGAGGTTTTTGCTATAGAGTGCATGTGCTTGCCAGAAAGACAGAGAGAGACGAGAGACAGAGAGACAGAAAGTGAGAAATCACCCCGCCGGATAGATGGTCACGCCACAATCCTTTCTTCATTCTCCTCTCTGGATCTTGGGCACACGTGCACACGTACCCCGCGTAAGTTTAAGCCACTAGGTCCAGGACTTGAACCATGGTAGACTACATAAGAGTCCAGTGACATGGGACCAGCAGTTAGCGTAATGGCTATGTCGTTGGACTCCCACGTAGTTGACCGCTGTTCGAGTCCCAGACCCGGTGGCTTAAACTCAAGCTGGGCACGTGAGCATGCGTGCCCAAGATCCCGAGAGGAGAATGGAGGAGAAGAGACTGCGGCGTGGTCATCCTGCCAGGGGGGTGATTTCTTGCTTTCTGTCTCTCTGTCTCTCTCTGTCTTTCTGGCGAGTGCACGTGTCCTATAGCAAAAAAAAAAAAAAAAAAAAAAA